ACAGTTGTACAACTGTGATTATATTAAATACTACTGAAAAGTATACTGCAAATAAGTTGCTTCTGAAGTATATAAACTACTTTACAAAAGCAGTTTTTTTTTTTTAAAAAAAAAAAAAAAAGGACAATCTTTGGGTTGATGAGATGGTAAAGGCACTGCTGCCAAGTCTGAAACTAGAGATCAATCTCTGAGACTCACAAAGCAGGAGAGGTGCAAAGGGAGGAGGCAGACAGACAGGGAGGGGGAAAGAGAGGGGAAAGGAGGAGAGAAGAAGGGAGGGGAGGGCAAGGGAAGGGAGAGACAAGAGATCCATAATCAACCTAAAGAAATACTCAGAGATACATAACAGAACCAAGCTCTTCTTAAAAACTGAGTAAAGATGAGTTAAGGTTTCACATTACAAGATTCCTAGGCAATGAAAGAATAAGTTATGACTGAATTAAAATGAAAGTTGTTCAGAGATAAAATCTACTTCAGGTCCAAGAAGTCCAGTGTTAGTATGGCTGGCATAAAATAAATAAATAAAAGTATAAGCTGGGTGTGGTGGTGCACGCCTTTAGTCCCAGTGCTCGGGAGGGAGAGGCAGGTGGATCTCTGTGAGTTCAATGCCAGTCTGGTCTACACAGTGTGTTCCAGGCCACCTGGGGCTAAGGGGAGACCCTGTTTCAAAATAAAACTACTTTGAAATATCATCTCACCCCAGTGAGAATGGCTGTCATCAAGAAAAATGACTACAAATGTCGTTGAGTGTATAGGGAAAGCAGAATCCCTAATTTACTGCTGAGAGGAATATAAACTAGTACAGTCATTATGAAGATCAGTATGGAAATTTCTCAAAATAAAAATAAAAAATAGGACCGCCATATGATCCAGTTATGCAACCCCTGCGCATATACCCAAAGGACTCCATATGCTACCACAGAGATACCTGCACATCCATGTTTACTGATGCTCTATTCAGGGCAGCAAGGAAAGAGAATCATTCAGCATATGAATGAATAATCCAAATGTACATGCACAACGAAATCTTACTCAGCTGTAAAGGAAAATGAAATCTGCAGAGAAATGAATGGGCCTGCAAAGTATTACATTAAGCAAAATTAACCAAATACATAAAGAGAAACCAGTGTTCCATCCATATGCAAATTCTAGCTTGCAATGTATATGTGTATGGATATAAATAGGAATAAATGTGGATAAAGCCTATAAAACTAGAAAGGAGAGCGTAAAGAGAAATGCTGAGAGGGAAAGACAAAAGGATACATGTGACTCCAAAGCAGAAAGGAAGGAGGTGGATATAAAGGCAGGTTAAGGAGATGAAAGAGAGGAGGGGTGGGGGGACAGGTGAAACAAATTTTTCTTGAAAATACCATAATGGTCTACAGCCACACCACTCTCAACCACTCTCACTGCGCCTGATCTCATCAGATCTTAGAAGCTGAACAGAGTTGGGCCTGGTTAGTACTCAGATGACAATGCCATGATACCTAATATCTTCAATAGTAATTTTTTAAATTTAATAAATAAAAGTATATTTTACAAGCTGGGCATGGTAGCACACACCTTTAATCCCAGCACTAGGAAGGCAGAGACAGGCAGATCTCTGTGAAATCAAGGCCAGCCTGGTCTACAAAGCAAGTTCCAGGCCAGCTGAGGCTACAAGGAGACTCTGTATTTAAAAAAAAAAAAAAAAAAAGAAAAAGAAAAGTATATTGTGAACTCTAATAAAGTTGTCCCTAGAAATTTACAGATAAAATTTTTCACTGAATATTTACATTAAAAAATTTCTACAGGGTATTTTTATTTTTTAATTTTATTGCTTGATCGGTTGAATAATTTTAGGTATATGATGTTTTTTTTCCCTTATTACTGCGCCTGTAATACCTGTGTAGGCCAGAAGAGGGCACCGGATCCCCTGGAATTGGAGTTACTGGGGGTTGTGAGCAGCCATGTAAGTGCTGGGAACCAAACCCAGGTCCTCTGCAAGAGCAGCCAGTATTCTTAACCACTGCACCATCTCTCCAACCCTGATATTCTTAAATTTTGGAAAAATTCACTGTATATTTAGGAAATTTAGGGAACACTAAGATTATCATTGCTAATACAAATACAAGGCTTAACTGGGGAAATTGGTATTTATAAACAGAAACATAAACCTAACCCAATGAAACCCTTGCCACATTCTTGTTCTGTCCTCATCCCCCACTAAAAAAAATAAAAAAATAAAAAAAAAAAAGAAAGAAATTTATTTTTTAATTCTAAATTCTTAAATTAGAATCAAGTGAAGTGGCACCTCCCTATAATCATAGCACCAGGGAGACTGAGGCAGGAGTCTGGTCTGAACCCAGCCTGCACAACAGAGCAAGACTCTTTCTCAAACAATAAAGTAAAAAAAAAAAAAAATTAAATTCCTTTAATCTTTCCATTGTTTTTACCTTATATTCCACACCATTATGTTTTTTCACATGACAACTTAATATTCAATGAAGGACAAAATTACAGCACCACACAAAACAATGAAAATAGCAAATTACTGTAAGTTAATAGAAAAGTTTTGCTTCCACTCAGAAAAATATTCCTAGGTTTTATTTACCAGAATCAGTCAACATAAACTAAAAGAATTATATAGCATTTTTGTGACACTCTATTAATCTATATAAATTCTGGTTCCTTGATCCTTTATAATGTTTAATTGTATTCAAATACATACAGGCCAGATGTGGTAGAGCACACAAGCCTTTGATTTTAGTATTCAAGAGGCTGAGGCTGATGGGATCTTTGTGAGATCAAGGCCAGCCTGGTCTGCATATCCAGTTCCATAGCTCCAGGGAGACCTTGTCTCAAAAAAGGGGGAGAAGGGTTGGAGAGATGGCTAATTGGTTATGAGCACTGGGTTTGGGCCCCACCACCCACATGGCAGCTAACAATCACCTATAGCTCCAGTTCCAGGGGATCCCACACCCTCTTCTGGCCTACACAGACACTGCATGCACAGGTACAGAAATAAACATGCATGTAAACACTATAAGTAAAAATAAAACTATTAAAACACACATGTACACACATACACACACACACACACACACACACACACACACACACTTAAAATTCTCCAACTTCCAGGACTACATTCACAAAAAGCAATGAAACTAAGAAATGGGACTATTCAAAAATAATAAATATATGAAGTACAGCTGTTTTCTATAAACTAACATGTAAAGCTTCATTGACTATTTTCTTTCTAGAAAAAGTATATCTCTCATGTTTACATATAGTTTATTTATAGCAAAGTCCTCTGAAATATCAGCCCTCCCCCAGTGTTGGAGGGGAAGTCCTCTGAAATATCAGCCCTCCCCCAGTGTTGGAGGGGGAACTCAGGGCCTCACACATGCAAGACAAGTTCCACACCACAGAGCTACATCCCCAGCTCTTATTTTCTTGATTCCTAATTCACAGTTAAGCAATATTACTCCAGGAAACAAATGAGTTTATATTTATAAACATTTTTCAATACTTATAATAAGGGCTTTAGTATGCAGTACCAAAATCGAGATTATGTGACAAACATGTTTTCTCATCCTATTGTCAAAACCTTGCTGAAAAGATACCGACTCCCAGGCACAGATGAGAAGACAGGTTTACAAATACTAGGTAGTCGGGGCTGGAGAGATGGCTCAGCAGTTAAGGGTACTGGCTGCTCTTGCAGAGGACCCAGGTTTAATTCCCAGTACACACAGGCACAGACAACTGCCTGTAACTCCAGTTCCAGAGGATCCAGTGCTCTCTTCTCAACAAGGGTGCACTTACACACATGCAGGCAATACACTCATACGCATAAAATATATTTTAATACTAGCTAGTTTGCCTAAGACAAAAGGGGGAGGCGATAGGTATAGTCAGAGTTCTAACAGGTCTATAAAAGTGCTCTTTTTTCCACTAAACTGCATGAGATCAAACTGTTTCTCAAATAGTTGTAATAGAAAACAGCTTTTCACTTCTCTTCTTCCCCCCACTTCCAAGTGAACAAACAGCATACTGTGTTTATGAGAGCGGCTTCAGAAAAGAGCCATCTCTGGCCACATGTAAACGTCCTGAAAGCATTAAATCTATATTATGACTCCATCCACAGTCAAGGTCTAGCTGTGTGGGCTAACTAAATACAAGTGTAAAGACAGCTAAGTAAATCAGCAAATAATTACCCAAATGCGTTTTATGTTTGGTTCTGAAATGCACTTTGAACCTATTGGCACATTTACCTTTATAACCACTCTCCTCTGACCCCCCACCCCACCCCAAAACAGCTTTCCAGGAGCACACAAAGAGGCTGCTGACCTAGGAGGTGGAGACTTGCAAACATGTTTGGCTGTACATGACTATCTAGATGGACAATTAAGATAACGAGAAGCAATAAGGTAGCATGTAAAATGTGATGTGCTTCCACTGTGTACAAACAGGTCGGCTAAACTCCTGAACACAATCCTCCTAAACAGTCTAAGCTAAATAAACTGGCTGGGTTAAGATGACAGTTCCAGTAACTTCCTCTTCCTCGCTGACCTCCTCAGCTCAACGTGTGCCCGCCTTTCCCCCTAGGAGGCAGGATCCAAGCAATTTCAAATGCACAGAATCATCCAATCCCACCAGCACCTAGGCCAAGAAAGCGAGTATCCCGTTCTTCCTCTACCTTTCCAGGGAGATCTTTCTTAAGGGGGAAAAACAAACATTAAAAAAAAAACCTAAAAAACCTTCCCAACGAGATAAAGTATTTGCAACCAAAAAAAAAATATTTACTCAGCCTCTCCCCACAGCCTTAAAGGACTGGCGAAGAGTGGGGATCTGAACAGCACGTATTCCGAGATTGGCTGTTTTGATTCACTTTCCCTCGGGTTCCACGGCCGGCTGGGGAAGGCCTGCAGTTAGAACGCCAAAATAAGCCTCGGCCTCTTCTCGAGAGCCGCGAAGGCTGCGAGGCCCAGGCGATCCGTCCCGCCCCCGACCCTCACCTGCTCAGGCCCGGGGCAGCGCCCTGGGCCCGCGCGAGCTGGCCGTCCCGGGAGCGTGCGGGGAGACAGGCCGGCCGGCGGGCGGGCAGGCGGGCTGCGGGCGCGAAGACGGTTAGGCCGCGCTGCAGGCCGGCGCGCTTCCTGCCGAGGCCCGACACGGGAACTGCGGCCCCGAGCACTCGCCGCCCGCGGCCGTGAGCCCGGCAGTCCGTCCTCGCCCGGGCCCGCCGAGCCGCTCTCCCCACGACGCGGGACGACCACGCCACTCGGGAGTCCCCGGCGCGTGCCCCCTCCCCACACGCACTGGGCCGGGAACCCGCGCCTCTGAAGCGACGCGGGCCGTCTCCCGCCGCCCGACACACACCCACTCGCCGTGGGGCAGCGGGCCGCCTTCCTCCCGCCAAAGTCGCAACTCACACACCCACACACGTTCGTCCGTCTCCCACCTCACTGCCCCGGGACGCGCTCCCCTGCTTGACACTCCCGGTCCTACCCGAACCACGGCAACACTCTACCTCATTCTCCCCCGCTGGCCCAGAAGGAGCAACAGCAGCCATTTCCCCGCGGCAGGGGACACACACAAACACGCGCGCCCGCACCAGGCCCCCACAGATGCTTCCTCTTCTGCCTGTGGCCGCAGACACAAACACAAACACCCACGCCCGCCCCGAGGGGAAGCCGCGGCGGGAGGCCCGGCCGGGCACGGCGGGCGGACAAGGCCGAGCGCCCCCTCCTCACCTGCATTCAGCGCGCCAGGGTCCGGGCGACGACGGCGGCGGCGGCGGCGGCGGCGGCGGCGACGACAGCAGCGGTGGTTCGTGGGCGGCGAATCGTAGGCGGCGGCGGGGGCGCT